TTTTTTTTTTTTTTTTTTTTTTTGGTGGAGATGCCGAGTGGAGTTTCAAAGTCGAAGTCGAAGTCAGGCCTACGACCAGTACTTGGCCCAGCTATCAAGTCCGAGCCTCGGCCGACCGGTATGCAGAGCCTTGCCGAGGCTCGAACTACCGCGCACTAACTTCCCAGAAGTGCTTGGAGAAGAACATGGAATAAAGAACACACACACACAAAAAAAAAGAAAAAAGATGAGGAATTTGGCCGGCGGCGGGGAAGGGCCAGTAGCGCTAGGGGCTGCGCTAATCCTCGCACTAATTCTCGCTCTATCCCACGTGGGAGCGGCAACCCTCAAACACTCCGGCCTAACGGTAACTTTTCGACCCGTAAGGCAAGCAGCCATGGCGAACTAGGGTTTTACTGTCCCTCTTCACCATCGCTGGCTCTCAGAGCATGGGAGCTAGGGAGCACTGACCACTCTGGCCAGCCTCCTCAGCGAGAGCAATTGCATCCCTACAGAAGGGGAAGGAGGAGTAGTAGAGCTTCTACCTTCGCAAGGGAGTAACTCACGGGATTACCAGGAGTTAACCAGTCCGGAAGACAGCGGGCAGAGACCAGAAGACACCAGGCATCAAGAGCGTGCAATGAGGAGGTAAAACTCATCATTCCACACACCAATTGCTATGCTTATTCGTTGGTAGGAATAATGAAGAGTGGCTGGGTAAGGGAAATTAGAACGGAGGAGAGTACAGGGAACTAATCATAGTCCTAAGGGGTAGCGGCCGGATTTGGCAACGTTGTGAATCACTTCCCCGTTCATTGTCCTCCCCCTCACCCTGACTCTTACTCTAATCTACCTCGAATAAACGGGATAAAATTCTTGCAATCACCTCGAAGAAGATACAGACTCCACGATCAAGTTCAGATGCAGTAGCCAAGGATGAAGAATGCAAGGGCATAGCGGGTGAGGAAGAAGGTTTCCCACGCCAGTCTCTTGGAGAGACTAAGGAGTGCGGATCGGCCACGGGGGTAATTTAAGGCGGGGGCAGCCAAGAGAAAGAGAACTATACTATACGATCGGTAGTCATAGCTTGTTTTTTAATGCATCTCATGTATGCTCTTTCTAGATGCTTCGCTATCGACAAATGTAGTATACCCACTCATTATCGCCTCCCCGGTGTACGATTTTTTTTAAGACGCCAACCGTTTATCGTGAAAATTCTTTCGCTCGTTTAAAACAGTAAAGAATACCTTTCGAGCTTTCACATTCTCCCTTGTTGCTACTTTCTGCATTAAAATTCAGGGATTTTGTTTTCCCTGCTTAGCAGAGGAATCATGCAATTGCTCGCTTAAATTATTAAAAACTACCTATCGAGCGATCAATTTTTTCCTCGAGGCTACTGTTTGCATGGAAACTCACGGGCTCATTTTTCCCTGCTTGACAAAGGAATTTCCATCGCACTAACATACACATCAGCTCTCATTCGTCCAAACCTCACTAGTACAACAACCGGATCCTCTCATGCTGGTACAAAACAGCAATCATGGAATCTGCCTCTTCCAGAGCACCGGTGTCGCTCTCAGCCGCCGAAAAGCAGAGGATCAGGGGTATCATCGAAGATTGCTATGCGAAGGGCATTCTACCAGAGGAGTTTGCACCAACTATTGCAAACACAGGTAAAGATTTCGTTCGAGTAGTCGTTAACAGTGAATTCTATGGGGTACAGGCTGAATAGTTGGTTGAAC